TATTCACCGTAGAGCATGATCAACATCTTGAGGCTTTTCGAAGAAATGTTCAGTTAAATTCATTAAACTGGCTCCATGTAGTACATTTAAATGTAAAAAGTTACATTTCTAGTCGTCACTAGGTGGCTCTACATGTATAACAGAATATTATCATATAGAGGTCTTCATGTCACGACTATTTATATATGTGTGTGTGAAGTTTGAGATTTTTTGGAGCATCTGCATGGGAGTTATTAAGCATTTCCTCCTCTGTGGCAAAAGAAATATTGGATGCAAATTTTTGATGCCCAGCCCCCATGATGTCGTGTTTGGAAAACTCATGTTTTCCCACTGTTGTTGTTCCAGGTTATTGATGGTATAGCTCAAATTTGAAGTCAATCAGACGACTCCTCTTGGACAAAAATTAAAATGAATGAAGTGTCAGACAGGCTACAAAGATCTGTACTTCATGATTTCATAGAAACTACTATTGTGAGGGATCTGACTGGAAAAAATGTGTGCAGGTAAAATAAACACTTGGAAGGGGTTTAAGTTAAAACCCAGGGCTGCTCCGAGTTAAATCGTTGAACTAGCAAGGACCCTGCAGTCATCCACTGACCCTTCTTGAATTGCATGTAGTACTGACCTCCTAGCAGGAGCGGGGCGCTGTTTGAAAAGCAGAGATCCCTTTTGCTGCTCAGCAAGCAAACGGAAGCCCGCCATTGAGCACAACGTGTGTGTTTCGTATTCTGCTGTCTGAGACCAAGGAGGGAGTCCCTAAAAAAATCCTCATCCAGATACTCGTGGGAGCGCTTTGGAAGGATGGCGTACCGAGGGCAAGGACAGAAGGTTCAGAAGGTTATGGTTCAGCCTATTGTATCCTTTTTACCCCTTGCCTTTTTTGGGATGAACCATAGGGAAGTCATTCATTTAGCTTTAGCAGTTAAGCTAACGCTTTAACAAGAGGTAGCTGGCGTTAGCCATTCTATTTTGATGCATATTAAAAGGCGGACGACTACAGAATTTTAATCGTTGTTTAAATATTCTACTCTTGGAGTGTATTGACTCGCTGTGGAGACCTGCGAAATGCACGACCATTGATAGTAACGGTAAAGATAAAATGCGCGAAATTGTACATTTAATACATTTCTGGGTTTATTATTGTTTGTAGTTACTGCTGCAAGGCAAAAGACATCTCGCAGAATTTCGTACTCGCATTCCTGCATTTGATGAATCCAAATAAAATTGTAGATAAAACTAAATCCGTGTGCTTAGTGCTGTATGTGCAGTAGTTCTGTGTAATTGTGTATCAATGTCCTCGTAAATAATTTCTTTGACCCCATCAATCAGAACCTTATCTTCAGATATCTCCAGAATGTAAGTATTTATTATTTTCTTTCTTTCTTCTGTTGATAGTGTTTATGGGATTACAAAGTGAATTTGTTTCTTTCATCCACAGCGCTCAAGGATCCAGGTGTGGTTGTATGAGCAGGTCAACATCAGAATAGAGGGCTGTATCATTGTAAGTCCCCCTCCAATCTTCCAGCTATTACTGTTGAAATTGTTTTATTGTTGCTCTGATCTGAAAGAGAAATTAACATTAAATAAAAATGAGTCAGAGAAAGTCCAAATGCAATTTGGCATTTGGACTTTCTCTTTTTATTGACATGGAGAGAACATGCAAACTCCACACAGGAAAGCCGCAGCCCAGAATCGAACCCATGACTTCTGCACTGTGAGGCAGGCGTGCTAACCAGTCATTTGGCACAGCCCATTATTTGGCTGATGCATTTAAATTAAATGGTTGTTAATAATGACCATTTTTACCTAAATCGTTTCCTACTGGGGCAACATTCATTCTCTTCTGCCGTTGTACTGACTTCACTTTGACGTGCTGCCATTGCCATACTTTGTAATTCAGAAAAGGCAATTGAAAGTGGTGTGTTGGAAAGGATATTGTGGATATAATTAAAATGTTATAAAATACAGAAAAATGTATTCGATTTTGGGTTGGAAGTGTTGCGTCATATGATTTGCATTTAAGAAGGTTAACTCCAGGGATAGGTAGCTATGCATTTTAAATCGATGTACATTAATTCTATAAATGTATTGTGTAAATTAGTTCTCTTAAAACAATATACTGACCAGTATTTGCATCATTAAAAAAAATACCAATGTACTTTCATTTTTATTTTAAATGTGGAAGAAATGTAACCAACAAAGGTTTGGGGGGGTCAGTTTTGCAATTAATGCTCTGTTGGATGTTTAGGGTTTCGATGAGTACATGAACTTGGTTCTTGAGGATTCCGAGGAAGTCCACATGAAGACAAGGAACAGGAAGCCCCTGGGTAAGAGGTTGTTTTCATCAATCCATCCATCCATTTTCTAATCTGCTTATGCTCACGAGGGTTGCGGATGTATCCTACCTGTCTTTGGGCAGTAGGCGGGGGTGCACCCTGAACCGGTTGCCAGCCAATTGCGGGGCACACATAGACAAACAACCATTCGCGCTCACAATCACACCTACGGACAATTTAGAGTGAAAGGGGTTATTTCATTTTCTTACTTTTTTTTTCCTCCCCTAACCCCTAAATTCTAGCTTTTTTCAGCATTGGTTCTTTAATGCAAGTTTGAAAGCATGGAACATGAGTCATGTCGCTGTCAAACAGAATACCTCTATGCCCAAATATGGTCAAATCTTTTTTTTTTTTTCCCATCCCACACATCAATACCAATGGTCCTTCCCACTTCCTTTTGTTTTTTAACAATATTAACCAATCCAGAGTGCTGAAAATAGCTTGAGAACCAATACATTGAACACAACTCATGTCTGAGAAGTAGTGGTGTCATGATGCATCTATTTAATCGATCTATCAATGTGTCTGCCACTTACATCGACCGCGCTGAACTAGTGTACATTGATGCTGGTCATACATATACACAATATCCGTTTCAAGTTATTAATTGATATGCTTAACTTAATTTTATCCTCAAAATTCCAAATACATTTGATTTTTCACTCGCACACGTCTGGTCGTCGACGAGGATTTACATCAACTACACAACATAGATCATGGCGGTGAGGGGAGATGTTTGATGACGCAATGCATTCGCTTGCCTGGAAACACTTTGGATTGAGCAAGAAATGAGATTATATTGACGAGACAGTTGCCGTGTGCAGCCTTTGCAAATCTCAGAGGAGCACGATAATTTATTGCTGCATCTTGATCGACATCACAACTGCAGAAAAAAACATGAATGATTCAACAGTCAAAGAGGTTTTGCTGCCTTATTTACATGACAACTCGATCATAAATCTCTTGCTCAAAGAATTATTTCATATGCATGTTTTGTCCACAAATTGTTGCAAATGGACGGTAGAGTTTGACCATTTTTCGGGACAGGAGTCACCTTAACTTTAATCACATGATTGGGACAAAAACATTACGCTGTAGCAGGTAGTACGTGTTCGTGCTGTCTCCACCCTTTGGGTCAACATCTTTTCTTTTTGTGTCACATTTCCCTGAAAATAATCCACAAACTAGTGCCATTGTGTTAACACGATCTGAGATCCCTGCTGCCCCTTTGTCCGACATGTTTTTTTTTTTAAACATGAATGCATGTTTAATCTCTAGAGCAGTGGTTCTTAACCTTGTTAGAGGTACCGAACGCAACCAGTTTAGATGCACGTTCACCGAACCCTTCATTAGTGAAAAATAAAAATTTAAAAAAGTAAATAAAACTACATGGCATAAGTATAGGTTTTTAAAATTGTATGATATACTATCAGGACAGTCACACGGTGACTACTGAGCAAACTAAATTTCCCGCAACACTGATTGGACAGGCAATGTAATGTGACCAACTGCACGCAGCGTGTAATAACTAATCAACATGTTGAGTCGGGTGTGTCTCAGCCTCCATGAGAGAGGCTCTGTCGAACCCCTGAGACCAATTCACCTGAACCCCTAGGGTTCGATCGAACCCAGGTTAAGAACCACTGCTCTAGAGGTTTGTGTCATTTTCCGTGTGATGTGAGAATATCCGCGAATGAATCGCTTTGTGTGTGGTGTGTTGATCTTGCCGTTTGGCTGCACACCACACATGTTTTTGTTCTCATCCCGTCATAGTTTGGAAGACATCTGACAATTTTAAAATCTTGCCATGTGAGCCAGGCTTTAGCCTACGTCACACTAAACGGGATCACAACGCTTGTTCCACAATTCATAAAAAAAAATAATAAATAAAATAAATCTTGGTTTAGAAATGTATTACATTGGATTAATTACCTCAATTAGTTATGAGTAGAAAATATCAAGAAGTAACTTTCACCCAGTGTGTGTGTGTGTGTGTGTGTGTGTGTGTGTCCACTTGAGAGTTGACTTTTTATTGAAATAAGTGTACTTTTCTGATCGACGTCCATATTTCTTCTCTTTCTTCTAGGAAGGATCATGTTGAAAGGAGATAACATTACCTTGCTGCAGAGTGTGTCCAAGTGACATCAGTAAATCCCAACCATTCACGAGCAATGTGTTTCCTTTGTTTTAGACCTTCATTGTGACGTGTTATTGAAAGGTGTCAATTTCTACAATTTATGTTCATTTTGAAAATAAAGTTTTCCTTTGTCATAATTATTTTGGGATTCTTTTAATTGGATATTACCCTCTCTCACTTGCATGAGAAATTGGGTCATTGTGTTGCATTGTCATCTAGTGGCAGACTATTGTAATGCATGTAATATGTCGGTCAAACCTCTGACGTGAGCAGATATATTCAGTCCAAACAAGCTTTATTTAATGAATTGCATTGCGCGTTTAGTTCTAAAATTTGTCATTTTAAAATATAATTGTTGAGTGTGGTTTTGAATGTGTTATTTGGGCTTGAATTGTATTTATATACCCCTTTATACTACTTTTTGTTTGTTTTTTGGTTTTTAGTTGATGTCCCGGCAGTTAATAATTGCAATTATCAGACTTAAAAAACAAAAACATATTTGGCGATCCGAAAAATGTAATTCCGTTTACTTTCGCTGTAGTGTAGTGTTGTGCTGTGCAGTGTGTCCCTGTTCGGTTGCCTGGGAAGCCCCTAGTCCGGAGTGGAGCTGCCAACGCCCGACGTGAAGACATCAGTGGGAGATACGGTAAGGGAAAATTCCACAAACGTATCAATTTATTATTCTTAGTGTTTATAAAGTAGGTGACGTCGGTGGAATAGTTGTGATGGACGTGAAATCCCTAAGTTGTGTGATATGTCGGTGACATCGCTTTAAGATTAGCCCGGTGGCTTTGCTAGCAAGTTAATTAGTGTGTCCAGTTGCTAGCCAAGACGGTTTAACACATCCGTTAAATAATTATAACGGGAATTCAACGCCCGTGTACGATTTTTAGATGTTCATCGATTTTTAAGTATAGTGGTAATTGAATACGTACAGTCAGTTGGGAATTTAAAAAAAACATGCATACTTGACTGGATACCGGCCATCGGTTAGCAGGCTGTGAAGCCGCGTATTATCAGCTTGGGTTGAAACGTCGTAATTGAAAAACATTTGTAAGCTTTCATGGAAATGACAACAGAAACAGAACATCCAAAAAGGCCAATAATCAGAGAAATGTTTCATCGATTGTATGTCAGCCGACAGGAAAATGGGGCGGAGGTGGAGGCAGATTGAGGCCAGCAATAACCTAAATACAGTAGTGTACAGATTCTACTTGTGTAGCTAAGCTAACGGTAGCTGTTTTTCCAATGATCCTCAGCGATCTTCTAGTCGTTACCCATTTTAGTCAAACGTGATGATTTTGCAGACTACGGGGATACATTCCCCACACCTCGAGTACGTCGCTTATTCCGTTTTTTAACATTCACCCAAAATTAGTTATGCGGGTCTAGAAACACGATATTAAGTATCCATGACAGTATAATGACGTCTCGAGCCACTGAATTTGAAGGACGCGAATTTGTTGAATTTCTTTGAATACCTGAATGTTGGAAAGCTGTTCTTCTTACGATTATTTTCTTTCTGTTTTTAATCATCGAGTGTTTTAAGGCCTAACAGATGTCGTGATGTTGAAAGAACAATGTATCATTAACACAACGGTTTAAATTTTTGTATGCTGGAGTGAATTGCATTGTTAAAAACAAAGTATTGCGCATTGTTGTAACAGACAATCAATGTACTCCGCATTGACACTTTTATTTGCAATCTTATATCGTTTGTGTACATTTATATCAATTGATTACGGCTTATTTAGTGGTGTAGAATTGGGACCTCGAGGCCTTAGGATGGCTTTCTTTCAGGGTGCGTTGTTGCATACAAATGCTTGTTTTAAGACGTGGGCATTGTCTATTAATTGCGGTTCTGATATACAAGCACCTCAATCAATGTGATCCAGCATATCAAAATGTGACAAAGTGACCCATATTTCAGAAAATACGTTTGATCAATAAAGAGCATGATCAATAAAGAGAATGATTTGACATCTCAGCTTTCTAATGATATACGGGTACCAACCATTGGGATATGCTCCATCATTATTAGTCATTACATTATCACAGATATGAATAGGTATACTGTAAAAAATGATATGCTCCCTTTTGAGCTATATGCCTATTATGATGCACAAATAAACGGCAATCGACCAGTCAGAAGCCAAAATTTTGTGGGCATGACCTCTATCTAGCACAGCAACCGTTGCCATGTTAGTGCGACACAAACAATGATGCGGCTCATTTTATGGACTTTTACTGGCGACTGAGCTTCAGGCCGTCAGTACATTTTGGGCCAATTCTACCTCATAGCTTGTTTCACCCCTTAGCCCTCAGTTGTGCATGTATATGAGAACGAAAGGGGTGTCTTAATTCTCAAAGGGTTTGGTCTTACACCAGGAAGTGGCCACAGCTCCGAGATGTAGCCTGTGAGCTAGCGAGATGAGACCTGGGCCGTGTCCAAATGTCCGCCGATATCCCCTCAACCCCTCATTCACTATATATTCCCGCACTATATGTAGTACTATTTCGTAGCTCCCTGATTCTGTTTGGTGATTTGGGCAGTCAGCACTACTTTTCTTCTTGTCACATAAGACGTGAACGCCCTACCTGTCATGATGCACCAATGCATTAAGATCTCTGAATGTTTATTGTGAACAAAAAAAAAACATTTTAAACTGTAATTTATTTCCTTGTTGTACATATTTTCAATTAAAGAAATAAAAAAAAATCCGTGGCGTATAGTTACTGTATTGTTACAATATTCATGCTTACGCCATATCGTTTTCTTGCTCGCAATATATCGTCTCTCTGTTGAATGACCATCGATGCTCACTACTTACATTCTGGGTAATTTTGAGTGCACTACATTTTTTTTCTGTCATGATGCACCAATGCATTAAGATCTCTGAATGTTTATTGTGAACAAAAAAAAAACATATTTTAAACTGTAATTTATTTCCTTGTTGTACATATTTTCAATTAAAGAAATAAAAAAAAAATCCGTGGCGTATAGTTACTGTATTGTTACAATATTCATGCTTACGCTCTTGTCACATAAGACGTGAACGCCCTACCTGTCATGATGCACCAATGCATTAAGATCTCTGAATGTTTATTGTGAACAAAAAAAAAACATTTTAAACTGTAATTTATTTCCTTGTTGTACATATTTTCAATTAAAGAAATAAAAAAAAATCCGTGGCGTATAGTTACTGTATTGTTACAATATTCATGCTTACGCCATATCGTTTTCTTGCTCGCAATATATCCTCTCTCTGTTGAATGACCATCGATGCTCACTACTTACATTCTGGGTAATTTTGAGTGCACTACATTTTTTTTCCTTTTGGACATTCGGGCAATCCTACAAAATGGTGTAACTCCTGAATAGCGCATTGCACAGGCAATCGTGTGCACATTTGGACAGAGCCCTGATGTGAGAACAAGACCTCTTGCGTGATATCACAAAAATGAACAAGGAAACTTCCAGATGTGTGCTGATAATCTCCAAGGTTTACTGAGTATGGCGGAGCTGACGGCTTTGTATATTGGCGCTGTGGCCAAAAGTACTTGCTGTGGAAAACAGTTGGTGCCGTCCGGGGAACCCACTCTTAGGCAAAACATGACATTGGGAAGTACGTGTTTGTTTTTCTTTATGGCTTGCATTCTCGTCAGGATTCGTTCAATGTCGCAAACGTTCGTCAAACTTTCTCAGACGTTCGCCTTCGAGGGAATTTTTAACATGTTAGCTCACTTCTTTGAGCCTTCAAAGAGGTTCCACTGAGTTGGCGGCAAGGTTCCAAAGATGTTGACGCTGTTGGAGCATGGCACAGATGCCCGAGTAGGTGTGGCTTTGATGGCGCAGGAATCCCCATCGTCAGGCTAATGCCAACCCCACTCATCAAAAGACCAAAATAAAAATTATAGGGTTACTTGGGCCAATGGAAATTTTTATATAATGCTATGATTCATTGTTTTCTCATCGCACAGCACTGCATGGGAAGGAGCCAGTCATGCCTCTCGTGCATGGAGCTTAAGTACAAACAAGATCGGAGAGATAAAAGGTGTGAAATAACTTTCCCGTCACTATATAAATAAACTAAAATAAATGGGAATAATTTCTCCTTGACCATTAACAGAACTATGAAGAATGTTGCAGTCTTAACTAATTCAGTCCTGGGGTCAGTATTGTACCAAGTCTTGGTACCCATCCCAAATATTGGTGTCTGGTCTGTCATGTGCCGGATGCACATTGCTCTCTCCAATATGTTGCTATGATAGTTGCAAAGTAAATATTCATCTTTGTTTTTGGTCTTCTAGGTATTGAATGATTTGTGAAGAATGCAGACCATCAAGTGTGTTGTCGTTGGGGATGGTGCCGTGGGTAAAACCTGCCTGCTCATCTCATACACTACCAACAAATTTCCCTCAGAATATGTACCGACAGTAAGTATTTGGAAACTGATTGAATATCTTTTTTAAACTACGATCATACAACTTTACTAAACGACCATACAACGTAATATATCTTGTAATGTCATTCTGTGAATAAAACTTTAAACATTATTTGCATATTTAGCAGTTATGTTCCAAGACTAGTGAATGCGTCACAACTGGAAAAAAGTCAATATTATGTCACTTGAAACTAAAGAAAGACAATATCATACAAATATAAAGCAAGTATGAATGTTGTTTGGAACTTTTCTGGTTTTGCCCAGTGGCAATCGTTCCTGACAAAATATCTAGGATGTGCCTGAGAAGTTATGACAGGGGTTGCCATCTCTGCGGCTGTGAAAACGTGTGTATCGCTCGGAAAGAACTAGAGAGCAGCTCGCACTTTGACAAATTTGACAAGTGCAGAAAAGGATCCAACAAAGACCCCCCCCCCCATTTTCAGTTTTCACGTTCAGCCAAGACTTTTAATGTTGGTGAATCTGTTTTTATAATGTGGGCATATGTATATATTTAGGATATGGGAAGTAGATGGTTGACATAGTTTTATGTTTGTTTTGCAGGTGTTTGATAATTATGCCGTAACCGTAATGATTGGAGGTGAGCCCTACACACTGGGCTTATTTGATACTGCAGGTATGTATTTGATCCTTTTTTTTTTTTTTTAACAAATACTTGTTTATCCAGTGCATTTATCTACATTTATGTAGCTTTGGCGATCACTTGATCTGAAACCCCAAAATTGTTCTTTTAATCTCTACTACTCACTCCAGCCTGGAGATACTAGTTTTGGTGGGCCTATTGTGTCATTAATATCAAGGCTGCACATTTGACAGCTGGTCCATCCACATTATTGTTTGTACTTTTTCCAGGTCAGGAAGACTATGACAGGTTACGACCTCTGAGTTATCCCCAGACAGATGTCTTCCTTGTGTGTTTCTCCGTCGTGTCTCCCTCATCATTTGAAAACGTAAAAGAAAAGGCAAGTTCCCCTCCCATCTTCTTATGACTGTATTCCTCATTTGATTGTGTGCATTTAAATTAGTGGTGAAAACGAATTTGGCATTATACTGTCACTTTTGTATTGCACACAAGTAGTCTTTTGTATCTGCGTTGATTTGACAGGAATCTGACACTCTTGCTTTGTGGAAGCACGTCACTGACGTGTGATGTCACTTTGCTCAGAACCGCCGGCACCACAGACAGCCCAAATGGCAGATAAATGTCATTCTTTTTAATTGAGCTGTTTTAGTGGTTGAATCTCAAGGCTCGGTGCACACCGAGCAACATGGCCGAACTGGATACTCATGAACAAATTACAGTCAGCGCCTCACACATGCACAGCTGGCCATTCACCCTCACACACATACCACTCACTGTCACGGTAAAACCCCTGGTGTTCTAATTAGGAAACCACGTCTTAAGGTGCCACACCAAGTGTACTGGATTATTTTTTTGTTGAACAAAATGGTGGGATTGTTAAGAAAGTAGTATATTGCCCTGGCCACGATAGCTAGAGAGAGAACAGGTAAAAAATTATGTGTGGATATTGGAGTACATTTTGGCAACTGAGACTTGACACCCTTTTCACCGCACATGCATGAAATAAATACACCGCAATTTCTCAAGAATAACACACCCTCGATTACACCTCCTCCCTTTTTTCAACAACCCACAGAGAAAGAGCTTCACATATCTATCTATCTATCTATCTATCTATCTATATACAGTGAAACTCCTCTACAACGAAATAATGTTTGCAGCAAGAATTTTTTCACAACAGGGGGTTTTTCACTGTAGCAAATTTGATCTCAGATGTCCTCCCTTTTTTTCAACAACCCACAGAGAAAGAGCTTCACCAACCAGCTTCACATATCTATCTATCTATCTATCTATATACAGTGAAACTCCTCTACAACGAAATAATGTTTGCAGCAAGAATTTTTTCACAACAGGGGGTTTTTCACTGTAGCAAATTTGATCTCAGATGGAAGCACACACACCCACACACACAAATGTATGTGTACTCTATTTTTATTCCAATAGTGCATAAGTATGAGCACACACTTATTTGACACTTCATATTGTCAGTGTAGAAAGAAAAAAAGGGAAAGAAATTACGAAATTTACGATCAGCATTCACTTTCACTTGCATCAATTTCTTGGATATTGTCTTTTATTTTGCTTGCTCTGTCTTTCATTTTGATCACTTTTACCCTCTCTCCCAGCATCAGAGCTCTTCTTGTCTTAGGTGCTTCGCTATGAGAGAGAGGCGCTCTAGTGAGCGTAAGGTTTTTAGCCTTCGAGAGCTAACTATGGCCATCGAGGACTACGAAGCGTCCCGTGGCTGTTTTTAGCATGATAACAAGCATTCGAGGAAACGTTCGTTTATTTGAATGTCCGTTGAGCCACGGTCAATGGCCAAGAGGGACCTCACTGTCTATGTGTGCAGATACTGAAGATCTATAGCATCCGATTAGCTGCTCAGAGTAAATTGCTTATGGCTCGACGGACATTCAAATGAACGAACGTTTCCTCGAATGCTTTACTTGTGATGATGCTAAAAGCACCCACAGGACGCTTCGCAGTCCTCGATGGCCATAGTTAGCTCTCGATGAGGGTTTCTAAGGAACATTTAAGGTTACAAAGGATGACTCCAAGCTCTCATGATTTTTAACAGATGTCCAAAAACTTACTTGAAAAATTCAGTTGTTTAACCTCCACTTTTAAAGCAGTCAAAGTTTCAAAGGAAGGATGGGTTTCAAAGTGGGGTCCTGAATTGTATTTATTTATTTATTTATTTATAAAGGGGGTGACAAAATTGACTCAAAAAATTTTAATGAAATATGTTACCTCAGGTTTTAAGAGTTTCAAAGTCGTAGTAGCTTCGGTTCTTCGCTGTTAGATAAGACTTCGTTGTAGTGAATGTCTTCGCGAGGCTGGAGCAGAGAAAATGATTTCGTATAACGCAACAGGGGGGTTTTCGTCGTATGGGGGGCAGCAGAATGGGAATTGTGTTAATGCATGAAGATTTTTTCACATAAGGGGGTATTTTCGCCCATGTAGGTTTCGTTCTAGAGGAGTTTCACTGTACACACGCACACACGCATACACAAGATGGCGACGCGAGAGTTGCTGCCTTTACAGCAGCTCCTATAGTTTTTGTTCTTCTATTTTCTTCCTTTCATAACTTTGCTGTTGTAAAGTGTGAATTTCTTCATTGTGAGACGAATATAGGTTTTTATTCTTATTAAACGGTGCTGAAAGAAAAGCGACCCCATTACATTGACCCAGCGCCTGTTGCCAGCTTTTAGCTGCTGCCCCATCACTAGCAAGTGTTAGCTAGTGGCAGCAGGCGCTTGGAGGGCTCAAGTGCTCCAAATAGGCTTGTTGGAGCTGTTAAATTGCTTTCCAGAGATAGTCAACGTAAATGACTTCGCACATTCTGATGCTGATAGCCTGACCCAATCCCGGTTCTAACTGATCACTTCTGAACAAGCCAGGCTTACTCAAATGTGTTGCTTTAGTCCAGTGGTTCTTAACCTGGGTTCGATCAAACCCCAGGGGTTCAACGGAGCCTCTGCCATGGAGGTTAAGACACACCCGACTCAACATGTCAATTAGTTATGACATGCCCGCTTGGCCATCACTGGCTGCGGATGATCACATTACATTGCTTGTCCAATCAGTGCTGCGGGAAACTTTGTTCGCTCTGTAGTCAACGTGTGACTGTCGTGATAGTACGTCATGCACGGTTCATTTTGTGCACAATCAAAAACACGTATACTCATGTCTTGAAATTTTATTTACTTTTTCTGGTTTTAAAAATGCGTTTTTTTATGTCTTTAATTTTTTAAAACTCTAAATTTTATATTTCACCAATGCAGGGTTCGGTGAATGTGCATTTGAACTGTTTGAGTTCAGTACGTCAAACAAGGTTAAGAACCACTGCTTTAGTCGGCAAAATCACCAGTGGTCTTCTAACAACATCAGAGATGAAAGTCCTCCGGATTTTCCCGGAATTCCGGGTTTTTCAAATTTTTATGAAAATTTCTCCGGAGAATTGAGGAAAATAAAATAAATAATAAAATTAATCCGGATATTAGTTGACAACATTGAACGAAGACGCGTTTGAGTTCGTTGTATTGCTTTCACGAGCGTAGCCATATTGAGGCACTAACACTAGTAACGGTAAAGAGATTTTTGTTTGTGTAATAACGACAGAAGACATGATGGCGTTTGACTAATGGTTTAGTAGAACGAACGGCAACTCGCAACAACAGTAGCAAGCGTCATTTTGCCTCTTGGGTTATACCATCTCAACTAGAAGATGGGGGATAGTCCCCAAACAATTTTCGTCTCTTTATAAACACACCTGCTAAACCCCAGTGGAACGAATAAAAGACGCCGTCAACAAGACAGTTGTGGCCAAAAAGGGAAAAACACAGATTGGCAGAAAATCGTGTCCGTCCGACTTCGAGTGTCGTCTCGGCTAACTTAGCTTAGCTGTTGTCGTGTGTGACGTCATTTGCGTCGACGCTGATTGGTTGAAATCAAAAGACGCTCTTGCGTACATGTTCGCGCTGAAGCACGCACAGCAGAGAGCAGCGGACTATCTACTGCTGAGGCTCGCTTAGCTTGAGTGGCGTCGCCACAACAGTAATACCCTTGCCTCGCATTCTCATGGCCTCGCCATATCTTGGAGATTTCGAAATTTCGGCCCGAACGGAAGCCACAAAGGGTACACGTGTGAACACAAAAGGAAGATTAATCATTCAATGTCGAGTATTTGAATAGCATTTTGTGTAAACTAATTCATAGGTGATCGGCTAAGTGCGTGTGCGTGCGTGCGTGCGTGCGTGCGTGTCTCTCTCTCACTCTCTCTATATATATATATACACACACACACACACACACACATATATATACCTTTATTTATTTATTTATTTATTTCTTCCGGAATTTTCAGAAAAGTCCACTTTCATCTCTGCAACATTTGGTCTCGTAGACCAAAAACAGAATGGGGAGACACTCTCTAAAATCTCATGAATATTTTAGCAAAGAAAATAAACTCTTCACAGCACCACACTAGGTTTAACAATAAAGTGTTCATTATTAAGTGGAAATATTTTACCCGATTATCCACATTTTCAGCAGAATAAAATATTATATAGCTTACAGCCCTGCAGCCCTTGATTTGCTGCTTCATTGTGACATTGCCACGGCATTTGTCTGCAATTACATTTTCCAACAAAAGTACATGCCGACAGTCATCTACTCATGAAAACGTAGAGCAGATAGTAGCACACGACATAACAGTTCAGTCGCGTTTGGCCACTTGGCTCAGTGTGTCATCTTCAATCATATTCCTTCTGCTAGTGAGAGGAATTACCGTATAAGGAGGTGCACCATATTTAATAATTGATTATTCCAATGCAGTTATTGAGTCACACTCATTTACATTTGGTTTGCGATGCATATAAAAATTCAGTATCTTTTCCACTGCTTAAACTGTAGAACATTCATATGTGAAGTCTTATTGCAACTGTGTTGTCAGCTACTTAATTGTCTTTGTGTATCCAGTGGGTTCCAGAGATCACACACCATTGTCCAAAGACCCCCTTCCTGCTGGTTGGCACTCAGATTGACTTACGAGATGACCCCTCAACTATCGAGAAGCTGGCAAAGAACAAGCAAAAACCTATTACTCCAGAGACAGCAGAGAAACTTGCAAGAGACCTCAAGGCTGTGAAGTATGTGGAGTGCTCAGCCCTCACCCAGGTAACGTAGACATTAGACAGACACTTGTGAAAATGCATAATACATATTAATTTTAATTGCAAGAGCTAAGAAAATGGAGGGAAAAAGTGCATGTCTAAATTCCAACCTAGCCTTTGCACACAATGCTTGATAAGCTTTGTCTTGCATTCTGCCCCCCCCCCCCAACCACAAATTTTGAGTAGTGTACTGTTTGTGTGTACGTGTTTTTTTTTCTGTCTCTCAAACAAAATCATAAGGATTTGGGATGTACATTTTCCTGTTGTAGTCCACACGGTGATGACATGAAATAAAATGCAGCCATTTGCCCAAAGCTGTGATAGGCTCCAGCACACCCGCGACTCTCGTGAGGAAAAGCGGCGCGGATAATGGATGGCTGTACATAAGCGGACCTTAGTTATTTTGTAGCAGATTTTTTTGCGGGTTATTATTGTCAAAATAATTGGAGCTGGATTACAGTCTAAGATAAAAATAATTGTACTCATGTAAAGCTTTATGAGCTAATCCATTTGGTTGTGTCGTTTAAGAAGGAAGGGAGTAGTGCTATTGTGATTCAGAACAACTGCGCAAGAACAATAGTGTGACTTAAATCAGCATTTGGCCCCCGCCACACTCTTAAGCTCTTTCCTTCCCTCCCTCCCCCTCTTCCTTTCTTTCTCCCTCCCTCCCTCCTTCCCTGCAAAGTTGCTGATCTTAATTTCCTATTTCCTGTACAGTCCTCATCTTTGAATTTCTAATCGTGGTTGAGGTCAACTTGCACGGTTTCTTTGTTTGTGCATGTATTTAAGTCAGACCTTCTACACATCCCCTCAGATTCTTTCTTTTTCCATAGCCTGCTATAATCTTTAACATCTTTCCATGCTAACTGAGATATTGTTGTCTTTCCCTTCTTGTCACTATAGCGAGGGCTGAAGAATGTATTTGATGAAGCTATCCTAGCTGCCCTAGAACCTCCTGAGATGCAGAGACAAAGAAAATGCTGCATATTTTAAACAATGTGCAACTGCTCCAACTTATGTCCACTGCTAATTGTAGCAGTTTTACTTTAGACCGGGGGGCCGCCAACCTTTTTGAAACGATGAGCTGCTCCTTAGCTACTGATTAATGCGGAGGGCTGTCAGTTTGATAGTATGCAATTTTGAAATAAATTTGCTCCAACTACCTTCATATGTTATAATGATGAAACAGATAAATATCAATTGGCCACACTTCATTATAAATATCTGCCAGTGTTCGCATTTTGAAATGATCACTTCTACATTATTCGTGGAGAGTCACACAGTGTCTCATCACCGGTGAGCTATTTTTGGAATAGGCCCGCGGAATACTCCCATAGTCCTTGAGGGCTCCCTGGTGCCCGTGGGCACCACGTTGGTGACCTCCGCTTTAGACTCTTCTTCAAAATCTTCAAAACATCCATATGCAGGTATAAAAATCGAAAGCAATTGCAAATTCTTTTTTACTACCCAGTTTAAAGCCTATATTGACAATGCTTCATGGCTAATCTTCATTATTTGTATCTTTCAATTGTTTATCGTGCTTGGACTTAACGACTACCACACTGTCAATTAACATGGTCCAAGGTCAATATTAAAGCAAAAGCAGAGCAAGAATTTGGAATGCCTATTTTCTTGTCATAGTTGACACAATGACGCTGTGGACTAAACTTGGCATGCCTTTGTATTTAATTTAATCATTTGAAAAGAGGGAAGAAGGCATCAAAAATGCATTCTGAGAGTGTCCTGCTATCTTGACCACAACGGTACATTATGTAATAATCTTCAAATAGAAAAGTAGAGACTAATTCTACGCACAGATCCATTGTTTTTGTTCGGCACATGCTTTTGGACACACTTTGTTCAACTTCTGTACAGGGTGGTTCATGAGTTTGCACTCAAGGATGTGAATGTCAGCGAAATATTCAGCCAACAAATTCAGCTGTAACAACCATACCTCTTCTGGGGGGGACTGATTGCGTAGTATTCAAACGTATGCCAAAAAAAGAATTTGGGCTTCGATCCACTAGATTGTTTCAATTGTGAAAGTAGGGATCGACTCTCCACAATGAGTATTTTCTTTTCACTTGGTTTCAAAACATTTCTAATTAGGAGTGTGTGTGTCTGTGAATTCTTGTGTTATTTGGAGGTTACCCATATTGCCACTCTGCTTCTGGTGACAGTGAAGTAGTTTGAGTTGTTTGGAGCAACCTAAGAACCACCGAGGCAGAGACATGGGGCACTAAGCAGTGAACAGGAACTTGTCACAATCTATCATGTGAGGACGTAAGCGTGTTCATCGGGTGTTTTGCAACCCCAAAGAATGGAGAACTCAGAATTTTGCGGCATAACACGCCACTGCCACAGTTCCAAAATGTTGGACTGGAAGTTATTTTTACATATTATTAGCTCGATAGACGTTTGCCTGAAAAGTGCTTGCCACAGACCAGTCGCAAGAGAGCCATTTGCAGGCAGGTTGGTGAAACAACACTTCCTGTCTTTCTTTCACTGTTCCCAAATTCGTACAAAGAATTACAAGTGTCAAACTAAATCGGTGAATCCATCATGAAAGTAATCAACAACTAATTTGAAAATGTTCTTAATTGTACTTAATTGTTCAGAGCCCTTGTTCAAATCCTCTGACTCAAGCCTCTCACCAGTAATTGTTTCCTGATTTCTGTAGTTCTTCATCAAAGAAGGCTGACTAATCTTTTGCGTAAGACATTTGCAATTGGACATTTGGAAAACAATGATCAAAGCGTCTGAATCGAAAGAGTTTCCAAAATATTGGTGAGTACAACATCAATCCTCCGTGTGGTATTGCTTAGTTTAGTTTTTCAATTGATCAACAATACCAAATAATATTTGGTTAATAACCAGTCATTGGGCAAATAAATGGTAGTGTAATATGCACTTACATGCAAGATCAAATCTTATCTGATTCATCGATGTAACAATAGATAGAATAATTGATTCTAAACGTATTTGATCGTGACAGCCCAAGTAAGAATGACTATTATCTTTCAGCAGCACACATTACAAAAAGCGCAAGAGCAGCAAACATACAATGACACTATATGGTATTTGGATTTGCTCATCAAATTCATCGTCAATGAGTTTGATTATCGACTAATTGTTTAGAGGCACTATTTAACCGAAAATAGTCAAAATCCTCTCATTTCAATCTTTCAACAGTACATATTCTCTCATTTCTGTAGTCCGTTACGATAGCAGACTGATTAGCCTTTGTGTTTAATCAAAATCAAACATTTGTCAACATCTACCCGTTCTTTGGAAAACAAGGATCGACATTTTTACCTATTTTCTAACATGTTGCAGACCAAACCAGTAAATTTACGAGGGAAAAAAAAACATTCAGGTTTAGTCTATTACAAAATAATCGTTATTTTCAGTCATAGCATGATTTCTCTGTAGTGAAACTTGAAGTAGCCTCAGAAGTGTACAGCATATGAAACTTGTATCACTTCACATTCATCAGTAGCCATGAAGTAACTGTTTCCAAAATGTTGATGAGTACATTGCTCCCTCTCGTGTGAAATTGCTTAATTGTTGTTTATTTGGTTTGGCTTGATTAATAAACAATACAAAAGAAACAACAATCATCGGTTATTAAATAATTTTTAAAAATGGAGAAAAAAACTTGCAATACATTTCATGCAAAGTTCATTTTTATCTTATCATTCGTTTACTCGATAGAATAATCGACAAAAAATATTATCTAATGACAGCCTGAATTGTATTTATAATATAAAGTTTAACGTGTGATTATTCTTTTTTTTTTTTTTACTCCAAATGTGATATGATGGTATTCAGTAAACACAGAAAAATATCCCTACTCAAACACAGACTGTAGAAAAACTTGGATTATGTATATTTTAGTGCAATAATTGTTATGCCCTGCAGAGAAAGCAACAACGGTCCAAAACACCGAGCGTATAGCCATGGTGAATGTATGCAAACTTCTCAACAGAACCATGTGAAATTATTGCTTGCTGTTGTCACACAAAGAAGATATAACAGTTGTTTTGGAAGAAGAAAAAAAACAACCTATAATAAAGCACAAGTGAGGTACTCTTTCTCTGCTCCCTTGTTTTTTTCTGGAGTTTATCAAAAAAAATAAAATCTTCACATGGCAGATCCTCCGGTGTTGCATTTCTGTTAATGGTGCAAATACCTAAAATTGAACTGGAACTACCCCCATTGCACTGTGATGCATTCCATTCCATGCATGGACAAAATAATTTGAACTGCTCTAATATGCAAGATGGTGGAAAGTTTGTGATCATGTTTCATGTGAAGTTCTGACCGAAATAGAACGTGCTGTTTTTTTTCCTCCACTTTCTTGTGTTCAATTTGATTTGCCCTCGCTGTGCTGTTGACCTGACACGCTACTAAGTCAGATCTGTTAAAGGCATTTATTCCCTCCATCCATTATCTGATTATGATGATATTTATGAAGACGGATCAACAAATCGGTGTTGATCCAATGCTGCTGTGTGTTGCCACTATTCATTTTGTCACCTCAATTGACATGTTTCCAAACATGCCTTTTCTTCAGTTTTCACCGAGCCATTTTATTCTGTTCTCAGTTTTTCCGAATTGATTTACCTCTGTTTGTCCTCTGCATGTTTTCACTTCCCCCTTATTTAGCCTGTGTATTTGTTTTGTTTTGTTTCTCTACAGAAAGGCCTAAAGAATGTGTTTGATGAGGCGATATTGGCTGCATTGGAGCCCCCAGAGCCCAAGAAGAAGCGCAAATGTGTGCTGCTATGAAAAGCGTCTTTTTCAAAGCATACGCATCTAACACATACTCTTGCATACATACTGCCCCCACCCAACCACATTTCCATTCCTCTGCTAAGGCTGATAGACAGCACTGACCTCCAAAGGCATGACGAGAACGATTTCAGTCAACCAAGTTTTAACTGTCTCCGCAATAAGAAGCTTCACCCCGAAGTCTGATTTGGGGGTAGAAGATCAGCCTAACCAGCAGGTTATGCAGGCTTTGCACAGACTGCCATTGCCTCTGATGGGGATTCAGATACCAAGCTTATTATGTACATGTAGAATTAAAGTTGAGCTTTTAAGTAGATTGCTCTAAATGCAATCGGTGTTGTGGCCAAATCGACCTTTCAAATGCCCAACCGTGTAGTTGTCTTCAGCCATTGTGGAGCCCTGCCCCCACCCTTCCTAGTTGCCCGGGCACCACCGGAGGAAATGCTTCCATGACCATTTCCCTCTGCAGTTCCTGGTGCTCATGTTTTTGTTTGCCAACACCCCAAACACACGATAGTTGGACAAATGATATTTATTACTTGTTCCACGCAATTAACCACAAAGGCAAGTGTGTTGGTCTGAATGGACACTTAAATTGACGCAAAACAGTTAATAGTCCACTCTGAGTATGAATTCATTTATCAGCTCACATTCACTCTTATTTATCTGGAGTTGTTCACGGTGAAGAGATGACTAGCTCAAATATGAAATATTGCCACATTAAATTTACCCTTAAATACAGGGAAGTTGAACAGTGTTAGAAAAAGTGTACTCTTTATGCATTGCATGGGACCAAGGGAGAGTGCAACAAGATCTTCAGCCCATGTAACCCTGTCATCTTACACTTAAAATTGGTAGCGCAAAGCAAAATCTGCCTCATTTACTGGCACCAATAGACACGACTAACAAACACAAGGTTCGCTACACTTCTTTAGAGGTGGCACACCAACTCCTTTTGTAGCCTTTAAGACTGGGGGTTGTGAGTGCCGGCCTTCGTTCTTGTGTGGTGTTTGAAAGAATTTCCAACATTCCGAAAAGACTTAAATTCACCGGAGGAATCAATACACGTGAATAATTTGCATACACCCTGCGATGGATTGGCAATCCATCCAGGGCGTTGTCCACCTCGAGCCTAAAGTCAGATGGGACATGCTCCAGCTCAGCCCCACCCCTAATGAGAATAAACCCCATAAAAAATGGATGGGTAGATATAGCTGACCCTTTTGGTCTCTCAGGTACAGCTGAGTAAATTGGCTGTGAGATGGCACACATTGATGTAGGATCCTGTTTTTACCCAAATATTTTCTTTGGCAACAATGTATGTCTGTCTTGCTCTCCCTCCCAATTGCTTCATAATACAAACGTTTGAATTTATACCTGCCATTCTTTACCAAGAAAACCACTGCTTGGTTTTGCCGAATAACACCTCTTTATGGCAGAGAGACTGGTTGATGAAGATTTGGTTGGTTCTTTTACTGGTGACTTAGAGTTGGGTTAACATGCAGCCCAAGTATCATTGTTATTATAACCTGTTGTTTTTTTGGTGAAAAACCAATTGCTTTTGTCAAAGGTCTTTGTTCTTTGTATAATGCATTCTTAAAAATATTAAACTTATACCTTAATTGCCTTTACCACTTTAACTGTCAGTTATTGGTTTTTTTTTAAAATTTTTTATTGTTACACCTCAATAACCGAAGAACCTACATCTTTATTCATGAACCAGAAAGATTTCGCTCACATTGGCGTTGGGCATAAGAGGTAACGAGCCACTAGGTGGCACCGCTAAGCCAAAAATCACCGTTGATCCTGAGGCCGCAGCTCGCAGTTGGCAAAAGCCTTTGCTCAGTTTTTCTGCACAAACCACAAATCTAAAGTGGGCGAAGTAGCGAAGTACAGATATGTCAGTGCTGTGCAAAAGTACTTTTTTTTTTTTACCCATCTGGTTCGCTTTAAGCACCAGTCAATGGACACAGTCACCCAAGCCCTCAGATGAGTCACAATGAAAGGAACAAAAATAATGAAAATTATTCAATTTGGTCAAAATAGCTCTACGTCTGTTTTTGAGAAGCGGGATGAGTAGTATACAGTAAGAATGGGTTGTTTAAATTGATGCATTTATCTTCCGAGTCGCAAATGGTGACGGACTTTAGGTTACGACTCACAAAACGACAGTCACTCGTCAAATGTAACATGCACAGTAGGTCCTCATGCAATACATACGTACTTACTTGGCACCACAAAGCGCTGAATTTTACTGCACCAAGCCTGAGTTACCTTTCAAACTGGGGTAATTTCTTCGGTTCCACTGGTACACTGGGGGCTGTTGTTATGGAGGGCTTGTGGAGAAATAAGAGCGTGCGCCACTTTAGGTTCCGTAAAACGATGTGCAACACAGGGACATGCGGACGACAACGGTCGGACATTTGTTTTGCCCCAACGCATGTAGGGCAGGGGTGTCCAAACTCGGTCCTAAAGGGCCACTGTCTTGCCTCTTTTCCAGCTCTCCCGGCTGCGACGCACCTGATTCAGATGATCAGCTCATCAGCCAGCTCTGAAGCAGCATTAGAGCGATTTGATTATTTAAATCAGGTGTGTTCCTCCTGGGAGAGCTGGAAAACAGGCAAGACAGCGGCCTTTGAGGACCGAGTTTGGACACCCCTGGCTTACAGGCACATATTTTTATATGTTTGTACTTTGTACGTAATTTTGTGTGATATGTTGCATTGCTTAGTTGCTGAGAAACAGTTTGTTGTAAATGGCTATTTTTGTAATGTGTTACAACTCGCAACACTGACAGCAAAACACAAAAGATGCTGAATAAATCGGTCCTTTTGCTCACATGAATTGAGTGATTGAAGACAGAGGAACACTTCGCAAATCAATCGTTAATGTGACAAACCACAATAATATCTAACGCCAACACAATGTCGAAACATTTCTTAATTTAAATAGATCACGTGTCCTGTCCCTTACTAGCTTCGCTGTCCGGTAGCTGGCTTACTGTACTTAGTGTTGTACTAAGTATTGCACCAACTGACAGGGACAAGATCTGAATTAGACCGAAATCCTGAGGCACTGCTCTGGAGATTTCCGCACTGACGTAACGGGCCGGGTTTTGAGAAGGACCAACTTCTCCAAAGTTGTCTTCCTGCATTACGTAGTCTTATTGAATGGACTCTCACACGATTACAACTAATGTATAGCACCGCACTTTATGTTAAATGTCGCCCACTCGGCATCCATTGCAGCTTGGACATCCTGGAATGGGGATTCCCCCCGTCTTTAGCCTCTTCTCAAGGACTTCCTATCCACCCAAGATGTTTTTTTTCATTGCTCGACTGTGGTGTTAAGATCAGGGTATGTTATTATTTGTCAACAGTGGGCTTATGAAACCCTTTGAGACTCTTAAAAGGGTTTTTTAAATTCCTTTGTATCATATATTTATAAATTAATTAACTTGATCTGATTTTACCTATTGCCTAACTCACCTGTCAACAGTCAAATAAGGGGAGTATCAGCACCTTTTTTTTCCCACTTACAGCACTGGAGGTGATCATACGTTTATTTGGGTTCACAGTCAGATGTATAGTACTGTATCAGGGAAAGTGTTTAAATGTTCTTCCACTAGATGGCAGATGGTACATACTTAACCTGTTCATCCAGTTTTTGTGAAGCAGAGGGCTGTGAGATTTTTTTTTTTTTCCCAATGTGAAATATGTGCCTTGGCTCACTAAAGCGTGAGAAACACTGCTCTCCTCATTTTCATCGCCTGTCTTGGACATCCATTTTAATGTTCCTGACACATCACTGAAGCACTGGCACACAAGCTATCGTTATGCATCACCACTGCATTGATTCAATTGTACTTAAAAGTAGTGCTTTGAGCTGACCCTGAGAAAGTAAGAGAGGGAAAAAAACACACGCGGTCAGACACCAATCAGTATTATGCTGTAACTTATGACCATTAACCATTTACGCCTTTTACTTTTTGTAAATAACGGTGTACAGGTACACTGAAACAGAAAGTCTTTGCGTTTCTTCTTCATCCACTGCAGGTGGTGATCCACAAAAACAAAACACCTTTGAGGCCAGAGTAATGATGAGTCTTGAATTCAAACAACAGGACAAGGACTTGGTCTCTTCTATTTATTAAACATGAAGTTGCACAGAAAAAAATGTCTTTGTCCCCCGTTTCTTTGTTTAAGCTTGATTTGTCGGGTCAAAAAAAAAAGGGATCGCTTCTCTCATGAGCTGACCTCATCTATCTAAAGTCCAGCTCACTCCCTCTTTACTACACACCGTCGCCAATCATGGGGTGTTCACACGGCAATATTTGCTCTGGTGCAGCGCCGGGGCTGCCCCAGTAGAGCGTTCACACGTGCAAAGTTAAACCGGTGTAACCCCTGAAAACAGCTGAAACCGGAGCAAATTTAACCCTGCTCAAGGAGGTAGGGTTTAAAAATTTGCTCCGGAGCAAATGCACATTTGCGGGGCAGCACCGATGTAAAATGGTACCTGTGAACGCAACAGGGTTAAAAATTTGCTCCAGAGCAAATGCTCCTTTGCGGGGGGAGTAGCCTCACTACGCATGAGAAAAGTTGATTACATATGGCTAGAATGCATTGCTTTTGTGCTCTGTTGTACTTCCGTCATCTTTCCTTTTGTAGGAGACTGGACTGTCTCGGAGTTGTTTGTGTAGTTTGTTCCTCTGTTGTGTGTTCTCAACTCCCCCAAATATTTATTTTGTGATTTCCTCTCTTGATTTTCTGTTTGGCGCATTATATGTTTGCTTTTCTGAGTGTCATTGAAGTCATCGTTGATTTACGTTTTCGGGGGCGGTCATTGAACACCTCTCGTGCAGAAGGCACGGAGACCGAGAAGGAGAAGGACGTGCCTGTACAGTAGTTGCTTGAGTTGTGTATGTTTTAAAAAAGAACCAACACGACAGCTCTTTGTTTTCTATCGCTTTGCACCGCTGCAGAAACTGCTGTGTGAACGCAAGTGGGGCTGCACCGGGGTTAACACGCTTCTCTTTAGTCAGTGGCTTTGTACCTGTGAACACTCCACAAAATTTGCTCCGGTGTAAGATATATCGCAACAAAATACATCGGTGCAGCACCGAAGCAAATGTGTGCCGTGTAAACACCCCTCATGTAATGCCCTAACTCAGGGGTCCCCAAACGGCAGGACACGGACTGGTATCGGTCCGCGGGTCATTTGGTGCCGGGCTGCACAGAAAGAATAAATAACTTACATTCCTTCCGTTTTATTCATTTCAGAATCTGAAAGATGTTTTATTTTGAAAAATTACCGGATTCTCTGTTATATCAGTCTACAGTATGTCACTTTTGACGTAGGTGAATGCGCGCTTCTCGGTCACGTGATAGGAAATGAAACCCAGGAGCTAGCAAAATGAATAAAAATTTTCATGCACTTTTTATTTGTGACGTATCTTATTTTGAAGGCACGTTTAAACATTACCATAGCGACCAGAGAATGTTGCCGCCAGATAAGACGTTCCTTGTGTCATGATTCGTGTTTATTATGTTTCGAAAATACCACACTTTTCATGCAGGTCATATGATATTACATTGTATCTATCCGGCCTGAAAATATTGTCTGACATGAAACCAGTCCATGGGGCAAAAAAGGTTGGGGACCTCTGCCCTAACACAGTTCCAACAAAAAATATTCAAACATATTGTATGTTTGTATATTTTAAACAAGTGAAATCTAATATATGCATAAAATAACCATGACAATTATTTTAACTAAGTCATCAAATATGCATGTTCCATTTGTCCACACTGAGTTAGTGGGGAAAACGCTTTTGTCTTCTCTGCTCCTTCTACATGGAACTCGTTGCAAAAGGAATGGAAATTAACTATACTTATTTCCTTGAATGATTTTACATCCAGACGAAGAGCACTTGAGACAGACATCCTCCTGAACCTATAACAGTTTTATCAAATTGCCATTCTAATTGTGTTGAAACTGCTCTGTATATATATGTATGTGTGTGTGTGTGTGTGTGTGTGTGTGTGTGTGTATATATATATATATATATGTGTGTAAATATATATATATGTATGTGTGTATATATATGTATATATATATATATATATGTGTGTATATATATGTATATATACACATATATATGTA